TCTCCAAGAGTATAAGTTCTCACAGACCAGTGATTTTTGCTGTATTCTTACTCCTGACACATAATTTTGATGGCAGTTTAGTACTAAGACTTTAGGTCAAGATTTGGAGTTCACTTTAGCCTATATTCCTACTTCCCAAGCTTTAAAAACCAATGTGTACCAAATTAACACCAAAATCTCAAGCTCCGAAGGTCTCAGGTGAGAATTATGGCCTCATCTATGACACTCTCTCAGTGACGATTTTGTCGATCTTTATTTTTGGTAGTATTATAAAAATAGGTGACATTTTGCATTTCCAAACGTAAAATAATATTGACAGTGCCTTTTCAAACTACATTCTGGCTGGGAGCAGTGGCTCACACCTGTAATCTCAGCACTTTGGGAGGCCAAGGTGAGCGGATCACCTGAGGTCAGGAGTTCGAGACGAGCCTGGCCAACATGGTGAAACCCGTCTCTACTAAAAATACAAAAATTAGCCAGCTGTGGTGGCGGGTGCCTGTAATCCCAGCTATTTGGGGGGCTGAGGTGGGAGAATTGCTTGAACCTGGGAGGCAGAGGTTGCAGTGTGCTGAGATCATGCCACTGCACTCCAGCCTGGGTGACAGAGTGAGACTCTGTCTCAAAATCCAAAAACAAAACAAAACAAAAAACTACATTCTGATGCGGATTCTGAGGTGTCTCTTTAGGGATCGTTTACCCCATTGTGCATTGGGAACCATTAAAAGAATGGTTGCTCCTTTAACTCTGCAGGCATTGTGGTCTTTTTGGTTCTGGATGGAGTTGAGAAAGATGTTTGGAAAACAATGTTACCTGCTCCAGACAACAGAATTCTTTCTCGATGAGTAAAACTTACGCATCTAAGACTGAACTCCATCTCAAAAAGCAGATCAATAAAAAGCACAAAGGCATTGCTTGATAGTATGAAACAAAAAGGATTTGGAATATAAGGCAGAAAACTGATTATCTTAATAGTACTTTAATTAAACAAGTCATACCTTCTCTGCTGTCAATATAAAATAAAGGCATAAGCTCAAAATATGATGGCAAATGGTGTCCCCAAACTATGAAGTCAAATGGCAAAATGATAAGCCAAGGAATGAACTTTTTAGCCACAAAAGAGCTAACCTCAGGTGAAGCTATGTATGAGGAATTAAGACCAAAGTTCTCTGAATATGGTCCGTACCCAAGACAGGTTATTCTCTGAAATGTTCCCAGAGTTGTTCAGTACTTGCCACTGGAGTAGAAAAATGTGTATCAGGAGTGCCAAAGTATGTTTTGTATCTTTCTCTTGTGTAATATAAAGGGCCTCTGCTTGGCCCTGGGTGTCTCTCGTTTTGGAATCATACATTTTGAAAAGGAAATACGGTCCCCTCTCCCTTAAATGCCTAGGTGCTAGTATGAGAGGAATTCTAATGTTTCAGTAAATATAGAGATTCAAACCCTATCCTTTCCTCTTTGTTAACCTTAAATTCCTCTGGAGCTCAGGCTGTGTTTTATAGAAGGATTTTTTAGGGATGCTATTATAAAAGGGTTAAGGCACAAATCAGTGAGGATCCTGGCTTCTCTTGTTGAGGGCACAAGTTACACCCACTAACCTGGTCTCTGGTGCTGTCACTTTATATTCTCCAGGTATTTCACCAAAATGGCAGAACACAGTCAAATTCTAACATCCTGAATGAAGGATGACACACTGAAGGTCAATCTATAGGGTTGATTAATCTTCAGGGGTCAGTGCAGGGCCTGAGGAACGAGACGCTCTGAAATAATTCTTTCTACTCTTCTTGATAAAAGTCAAACATAGTCTGGAAAACTCAGGTTAAAACTTTATCTAGACACAAGTGGAATATATTCCTCCATCACAGATGTACATGGCTCTAGGGAATGACCGGAGCCTGCAAGGTGCTTTGAACACCGTGGGTCCTAAAAACAAGTCTGTTGAATGAATGAACATATAAGAACACAGCCCATCAAAAATCAGCCTAGTTTAAGTGCAAGAAAAGAATACCGAACACTTTTCAGATTGCATCATTCTGACGGGAGACTTCTCACTTCCACTGTTCCCTTACTCATAGGCAAAGTATAATAATTTTAAACAAGAAGAAAATACTAAATCAGTAAGAAAATACAGTCTCACAAAGAATAGACAGGCTTCTTGTAATTTATTTCAGTTATTTCCAAGCGACAGTTACAAAAGTTAATTTTTATAATACTCTTGATAAGAAAATAAAATTTAAATAAAAATACATTCTCAACAATACAACATGGTTACACAAATTCACTACATTAAGTTTTGATAACTTACATTTTCAAACTGGACACTGTAAAAACCGTTATTTACTAGCAACATATTAATTTCCAAATTAATAAAAATGGAAGCAGATAATATCAACCAAGATTGGTAATTTAACTCTACAATGAGTCTTGTATTTTTCACATACTGTAAGGACACCTAAAAGGCTATGCAGAATTCTGTCTTTACAGGATGTACCGTTAGAGCAAATTAAAGGTGCTTTCACTAATAAAAAGATCTGTTTTTCAAAACCTGGCATGAATGAAATCAGGCTTCAGAAACAGAAATAAAAGCCATATCATTCGTCGCCTTTTTTTGTTTAATAAAAAAAGCCTAGTTTTGACACCTAACCATTACCCGTGATATTAAAAACAAGTTTCTTTGGCAAATAAAATAGTTCAGTTTGATAAATTATATTCCTGGGAGTAAAAACCTTTGCTATTGCCCATCATCTTATTAAATGAATATTAAAAACAAAGCTAAACAAAAATAAAACAACAAAACAAGCAACAGATCATACCACAATTTCAACTGATGGAAATGGCTACACTAAGAACCAGAACCAGCATTTATGGCAAGTTTCCCCATATCACCCTTTTCTTTCCTTCCTGGAGTTTTTAGGTTTTTAGGATGAAGTAAGCTGCCTTATAAGTTTTCAAATGTGGAAAAGGTAGAGAAAGCATATCAGGTAGTAAAAATAAAAAAAAATTTCTAAGTAACGGTAGAGGAATAAAGGCCCTGGAAGCAAATTTCTTGGTTGTCTTAGGGTCCTACTGACATGGACTCTTATTTCAAAAGACTTTCAAAGAAAATTAATTTAATTTCACATCACTTCTTTTTAGGCTGTGCCAAGTTAATTCCAGTTAAACTGGCTGTTTAAAAGTGTCACGTGAAGAAAAGAACTAGATGGCTGAACTCTCCCCCTTTCAAATCCAGAGTTACGTATGCACATAGCCTTGGTCTCTCTGATCATGCCATGATCTTTAAAAACAAACACAATTGGGAATTTGATATTAGAAATGTTAGATGAATATTTCTTTTGCCTTAAAAAAAAGTAGCAGAGGACTAAAAAGCCACTAAAGAATAATTATTGGTACCTGGTGATGTTTACATGTTCTTCACAGGTAGAGATTTCAGAGACTTTTAAAAGGAATTTTAATCTAAATGTAATTTGAGAATGAGAAATTTATTAAATGGCTAAATTCTTTCATATTTATAGTTTATGGAATCTACAAGCTTATAAAATTTAAAGGACTCTTTCAAACTTGTCTTTAAAAGGAGCCAGGAGTAATAATCTACCATAATGCAGTTAAACATAACTCATTGATTTTTACAAGTCATTTAGAGAAATACATTGCTCAGTTGTATTATTTTATGGAACAACTTTGATTGTATGCCAGTAGTCTTTAAAAATAATTACCTAATAACAATATAATTTAAAAACGATTACCCACCAATAAGATAATTGGCAAAGTGTATCTTGAAATATAGCTTATGCTCAGGGAAACTAAAAAAAGCACTACTAGTAGACTTACAGTAATAAGTCACAGTTTTGAAAAGAAACATGTAAATACTCCAAGGTTCAAAGTACCACATTTAGAAAATATTTAGAATAAAAAAAGACAAAAATAAAGAGTACCATGGTTTTTAATACTGATGAAGCAAAGTGTATCCCTCAATTTCAAGGTGGCAACTTGCTTCGACTGTTTATTTACAGTTAGGGTTTTTAGGACAAAAGTACATTTCTAGGGGAAGAAAGTCTTCAAACAGTTGCTTGGCCAAATTCCATTTGGCTAGCAGGCAATAAGGAAACAGCAATGAAATATAAACATTTTTCAGGAAAGCATTATTTCTAGACTTAAACACTGATCATTCAACTGATCATAAAGATTAGATACCATGGAGTATCTAAAGTATAATCTGGAGCAGTCCAGATTATTAAAGTGCGCCGAGTGACTGTTCTCGAGAAAGATCAGAACCTAACACTATGAGGAGGGCATCCTTACGGTGGCCCTTATTACAACACGAAATAGCAGGTGAAGTCAAGTGATTTTCCCACCACTTTTGTTCCCTGTTTACTTTCTTTTTCAGAAGAGATTTCCTTAGAAGTCAGGTTAAACTTTCAAATCAAGAAAATGAGTACCTGGTATTTAAAACAATAAAAACAATTTTAGTGGTCTCGTTACTTCATCTGCCATCATTGATCCCAAATGTAAACAAGATGCACACAATAGCACATATTCCCTGATTCCTCCCATCTTGAGTTTTGCTTACATTTTTAAATAGGCAAAAGGATCTACCAGCTTTCAAGGATGCTCTGCCAGTTTTCTAAAGTTTCTATCACTGCCTTGATTGGAACCTGTAATGACTGATGGACCAAAGGAGAAACATTTCTTTTTTTTCTTTTTTAAAGAAAAAAAAAGGCTCAAGCCTGTAATCCCAGCACTTTGGGAGGCCGAGGCGGGTGGATCACAAGGTCGAGAGTTCGAGACCATCCTGGTCGACATGGTGAAACCCCGTCTCTACTAAAAATACAAAAAATCAGCTGGGCATGGTGGCGTGTGCCTGTAATCCCAGCTACTCAGGAGGCTGAGGCAGGAGAATTGCCTGAACCCGGGAGGCGGAGGTTGCGGTGAGCCGAGATCGCGCCATTGCACTCCAGCCTGGGTAACAAGAGTGAAACTCCGCCTCAAAAAAAAAAAAAAAAAAAAAAAAAAGAACTAAATGAAAAGCTCTGAACTGTCATGAACTGAAATTTTCTAGTAAAACACAATGTTGGCAGTATAGAGCAGGCACTGATGGTAGTGAAAACAAGTCCACAGAACAGAGTGTTATAAGAAGAGACGGTTTCTTGCTACGGAGGAGTTCTCCCTTTGTTAAAAAGCTTTTCTAGGAAGATTCTTTTGATTAAAAATAAGTTGCAGAAACATGGATTGGTTCACACAGGTATGAAGGGAATCTTGGGCTTTAAATTCTCTAGTTATACCTCACTACCAGGATTCCCAAATGATTAATTTCAATTATTAAATATTAAATACGATGTGGAGGCAGATGACATTGAAGCGAATTTTCATTCTTAAATACTACGAACGAAATATATGATGACTTGAAAAGCTCCAAGAAAACAGTATTTTCCAGTTCTTCTGAACCAATCTGTTAAACTCTAAGATGCTTTCCCAACAATTGGATTTTCCCTAGAAAAGAAAAAAGTCACTTTTCAAAATTTAAGAAATGTAAAAAGTTAAAGGGTGACAAATATATAATTATATAAATACAAATCCATTAAGTATTTAGTATTTTCACTTGAAAATCTCTCATGCCAAATCTTGTTTCATTAATTCGATGAGTACTTACTGACCATCTATTAAATCTTAGACACTAGTGTAGAAGTTAAGGATAAAGTAGTAAACAAAACAGATCAAGAAAATCCTTGCCATCATGGAACTTACACTCTAGTATAGGGTAAATAAAATCAGTAAGATACCTAGTACAGTAGAGGTTGATATTCTTTTAATAGACAAAAACAAAGCGGGAAGTGGTATGGTGTGTATGGGTATGAGTGGAATGTGTTCTCTTTCCAGGTCCACAAGGGGACAGAGTTTTAAGGGCAAAAAAATTCCCAGCACCATGCCCCCTTCTCATGCCTCTATATCGGGGGGATTTGACAATTTCTGCTTTAATTTTGGCAGGTGTGGGAAAGGGTCAAAAGTCAATCACTCCAGTGGAAGTTTAAAAAAACTCTTTTCATTGGCCATGGGGCTTGGAGAAGGTGGGAATTTCTCCCAGGTTATAAGTCCCTTTTCTTCCACACCCCTTTGGATTCCATACTTGGGTCCCCTTCAACACACTCTTGGTGGAAGCTTTCTCCCTTCTTCTCCTTTTTCTCTTTCTCTACCTAAATAAATGACTTTTCTACAAAAACTTTTTGGGTCTGATATTTACTTTACGAGCACACCCGCCATGGTCCCCTCGCCTGTTCTTGAGAGAACGAGAGACCAAGAGCCTGGAGTCTACCAGGGGGTGAGCCGAGTGCTCCCCTACACCCCAAAACCCGCCAGAGTATTATCTAAGATTGTCTGGAATCTCATATGGAAAATTCCCAGGGCTCCAAGGAAACTGGATTATTACTGTTGGAAGAGAATCAATTACATTAACATAGAAAAGACAGGATTAGGATGTTTATAAAAACCTTTCTAATTGAGGCACCTATCTGAGAAGAACATAAATATTTATACCTGTCAAATTGACTATTATACATCAATAAAAAATATAATTATTAATACATATACTTTTCAAAGAATATTTAAGGTGGTGGGGCCCGGATTCAAAGCCCCCTCACTAGGTCAGCTGTGTGACCTTGGGCAAGACATTTAACTTCCCTAAGCCTCCATTTCTCTAGCTGTAAAATGAGGATAAAACCAAGTTGGGCTGATCTGAGGATCAATGAGTGTTCACTGTGGCAAACACTGTTATTTGTTGGCCTAAGAACCACTCCCTCCCTAGCCACTTCTTCGCAAACAGATCCTGATTCTGCTTTAACATTGGGCAGCCTTGTGTTTCAGGGAAGTCTAGGGGTAACTCTAGAGAAGGTTCCTTTCTTCAAGTAGGGAGAAAACAGCCTTTTCGGCCTCAGGATACTGTCATATAAAAATTTGGGGCTCTGAACTACTGCAGCTCAACTGTGACCATGAGCGAACAAGTCTAAGGAAGACAGAAATCACCTGGTTGAGGTTGGCTGAGTGGCAGGTGTTTCTTGATGACATTGCTGAGTTGCTAAATCAACCAACTGTAGAAGTTAACTACTTACTTTGAAAGAGTAAAATGTTTTATTGTTTAAGCCACTTCACTTGGGACTTTGAAACTTGCTGCTAAAAGCAATCTAAATACGCTGTAAAGTATTAAGCACAGTGCCCCTCGGTAGAGTAAGCACCCAACAAATGGGAGTTGTTGCAGTTGTTATCCATTGTAGTATCCATCTACACCTGAGGTGGTCGGAAAAAGTCAACTATAAAATACTTCTAGCACTTTCATAGCTCATTTTTTTTTTTTTTGAGTACTTATTATGTACCGTAGAAGGAGGATCAGTAAAAACAAAAACAAAACAAAGAGCTACTAAGTAGTCAACAAATGAATTACAATTGAAAGTAACAGTAAAAGTGGTGACAGGCTGAAAATGGTGGCTCATTTCTGTAATCCCAGTGCTTTGGGAGGCTGAGGCAGGAGGATTGCTAGAGGTCAGGAATTTCAAACCAGCCTGGGCAACACAGTGAGACCCTGTCTCTACAAAAAATAAAACGAATAGCTGCACATGGTGGTGCATACTTGTAGTCCTAGCTACTCCAGACACTGAGGTGGGAGGATCACTTGAGCCCAGGAGTCGGAGGTTACACTGAGTTATCATCACAGCACTGCACTCCAGCCTGTGCAATAGAGTGAGACTCTGTCTCTACAAAAACTAACACACATACACACACACACACACACACACACACTCTCTCTCTCTCTCTCTCTCTCTCTCGCTCTCTCTCTCTCTCTCTCCATCTCTATCTATATACATACATGAGCCAAAATTAAGGCCAGACACAGTGGCTCATGCCTGTCATCCCAGCACTTTGGGAGGCAGAGGTAGGCAGACTGCCTGAGTTCAGGAGTTTGTGACCATCCTGGGCAACACAGTAAAACCTCATCTCTACTAAATACAAAAAATTAGCTAGGCTTGGCGGCATGCATGCACCTGTAGTCCCAGCTACTCAGGAGGCTGAGGCAGAATTGCTTGAACCCGGGAGGTGGAGGTTGCAGTGAGCCGAGATCGTGACACTGCACTCCAGCCTGGGCAACAGAGTGAAACTCCGTCTCAAAATAAATAAATAAATAAATAAACATTAAAAAGTCGATAAAGTATAGCACCAATACAATGAAATAATGACAGCTAAACTGAACACAAAGTTGTTGAGTGGCTAGGGAAACTTGCACCAGAGAAAGGCCCTGAGCTGGGTCTTGACAGATGTGGGTGAGCAAGAGGTGTGAGGACAGGGCAGGAAAGGCAATCTCAAACTCTGTTTAAAAATATGTTTACAATAGCCTAAAAATTACTCACTTGCTCCCATATTTTGCACTACTGGATCTTTTCTTCCTATATTTCTCATGAGGTTCATCCAGCTTCTCAATTATGCTTTTTATTTGCTGAATTGTCTTAAAGGTTGTTACAGAATCCTCGATTACAAAGTTAGAATAATCATCAGGCTCCTTCTGTGGTCCTTGATAGACTGCTATAGTTCCACAAGCCTCTACAAGGAGCAGGAAAATAAATCTCTGATCAGACAACCATATTCTATAAATGCAGTCTTTAGTACAAATAAGAATTTTTCAAGTGTCTTATGCTGAGGGGATTTCCCTTGGAATAGCAGAGATAACTAAAATATATACATTTTATTTAGTAGGATCATCATATTCATGCAAAAACAGTATTTTTACTTCATGAATGTCAATGAAAAATGCCCCTCTGTGGGTTTGTCAACTTTCAAATAAATAATATTTTGGTAAATCTATGAGTATTTGCAACTTTTCTATAATGCTAAAAGCAATGTGTTAGGAATTGGTAATGAAAGATTATAGTTATACAAAAATAGATTGTGTATTTACCTTCCATCTTCTGCAGCTTAAGTAAACTGAGGGTAAAAAGGGAATAAATTCTTTCTGTTTCTCTGTCTTCATCAATATCTATTTGGATGTCTGCAGGGACACCACTATGGTAAAAATAAAAAATAAAGATATTGGACGAATTTTACTTTGTTAACATGCCAAGGACTTCTGATGGTTTGAGACTAAAAACAGAAGCACAGACTTTTACAGAAGGAAGTCTGGAAATTTAGTTTCATTTGACGGTTAAATAAAGTGGGGCCAAGGAGCGGTTTGGTTATTGTGTGACTCTAATCAGAAGGAAGGAAATTTTAAAGCAAAAATCATTTCTACAACCTATGCTTCATCACAAAAGCAATACATTATTACTTAAGTCTACAGGGCTACAGTGGTTGTTCCATAAATAAGAAAGAGAACACTAAGGGCCCTTCTTCCTTGTTATCTTGGTTCAAGCTCATGTTGTATTTAAACACTGCCTTAAAATTTTTTTTTAACTTGTGCAATCACTATTAATTTTAGAACATCTTCTTCACTCCTAAAAGAATCTCTGCATCCACTAGCACTCCCCATTCCTCCCTCCCTCTTGTTCCTTGTAACCACTTGTAACCACTAATCTACTTTGTGTCTCTATGAATTTACCTATTCTGAACACTTTACATAAATGTTATCAGATAATATGTGGCCTTTATGTTTGACTTCTTTCACTTAGCCCAATTTTTCAAGGTCCCATCCTTGTCTTGCACGGATCAATACTTCATTCCTTTTCATGGACAGATAATATTAACATTGTATGTAATATCAAATTTTGAAACATTGCTTTTATAATCAGAAAGAAACTTACGCAGTACATGGCTTGCAGCCGAGAGTGTTTTCACTGGTCTCCTGACAGCAGAGCCAGTTTCCGTTTATATATGCAGAGGGATGATAAAAACTGAGCCTGTTTTGATTGCATCGGCTCACCCTGCAGAGTACGTCTATCCATTCATTAGCTTCTACACAATTATTTGCCTGGACATAGAGTGGTTTCTCCGTATGTATTACTTGGAACATCTTCATAAGCAATTAAGATAAAAAGTTAGTGACAAGAGTTCAAAAACCAACACACAGTACAAAACAGAAGAAAGTACCTAATAGCAATCTGGTTTGCTTGGCTAGATAACTGCTGCTAAGATGTCTTAGAAATCATCATGTTTCAAGCAAGTTAGTCCCAAGCATAATCTCATGGTACTAGGCAGTACAAAAGAATTTAAGTTTTAGAAGCCACACATATTCAAAGGAATGGACTATCATATAGATATAAATAAAGGGAGGGAATTGTCAGTGGAAGAAAAAGTATAAAGAAAAAGCAGTAGAAAAATATTTAGGAACAAAGAAATCATCCTGGTGAGCTTGAGTGTATGGTATGTACTGAGTGAGAACAGAAGACAAAGCTGTACAGATAGCTTAGGACTGTATTAGACACTTGAATATCATGTAGAGCAGCGTAACAGGGAAGTCTTGAGAAAAGTAACTTAACAAACTAGGCAAGCTATATGAGGCATCAACAATAAAAGACAATTTTAAGACAGTGTGAGCTATTTATGAACTATTAATCCAATAAACAACCTCTTGAAAATCTGAATACAAATACTTAAGTAATAGGTGACAGAATTACAAGGTATTACCAAATACCCTGAAATACAAATACTTAAGTAATATATGCAGTTCAGAAAGCTTTAAGTATTTATATAACTTACATTTTTCTTGTTGAAAGAGCTCTCTTCCAGTTTTTCCACAGCAAGAATGTTTTTTACTGGAATTGTATAGATTGCATCTTTGCCTAAATAATTTAAAAAAGTAGAAAAAATTTAAAGTAATTTCCATCAGAATTGTAAAGATGAGAGGTTAATTCTGTAGGGTTTAAGCTCATCTTTTTGATGGCAGGAATATAAATAACCTACAGAAGACTTACAAATGGTATATATATATGTATTTGTTTCCTGGAACAGAGGAATTTTGATTGTCTTCTGTAAGGTGACTACTGCTTTACTTTGCCATATAATATTGAAACATTTTCAAGGAAAAATGTGGGACTAAATTTGATCTCTGTGTAGAAAGTAAGAATGTTACAAAATTTTGTAATATTAATTATGTGGGGACTGAAAAAATAACAAACTCAGCAAAAGAAGCCTACTCAAAACTTGCCAAGACATGAACATTTCTTTCATGCAGTTTCTATGCAAGCAGTAACTATGACCACCTATGTGAATTTTTATATTTTTCTGACCTAAATTTAATTAAGGGATTAATCCTCTAAACTGAAAAACTGTTCATTATCATCCCATACTGGTTGATCAGCCACCTGAAGCTACACAATTTAAGAGATGCAGACAACAAAAATAAAAATCTTATCTGGTAGAGTGAATCCTTAACCTAAGACTTTGGAAATTTCACATTACGGACATTTGAGGTTGCTAAAGGAGCTCCATAATAATATGACATAAGAATATGATGCATTTCAATTTACGATTTACCTGAGAATAAATTATATCTCATATAGTCATACAAACTATAAGCAAACGTACTTCCGATTTCTGGTCATTTTGTAATGTTGTTCTTAGAAAAATCAAAGCTTTGCTTTTATTTTACCCCCAAGCTTTGCTTAAATGACATATAGACGGAAGTGCTGGAGGTTAAGAAACTTTGCATTTTATATTATTTAACCAATTAATTGTACAGCTTTTTTTTTTTAAAGAAAACTATTTGGTTAATAAAGGTGTGTTTTGTTTTGTTTTATTTTGTCTTGAACAGAGATGTTAAGACAGAATATTTGAAAAGCCTGGTTTCTGGTATAAAATCTAAAATTTAGTAATTCAAGCAAATGTGATACATAATTTTTTAAAAGATAAAGTCACTTAATTCAACTATCATATATTGAATGTCTATTACATACCAGGCACTGTTCTAACCACTTATGATATAGCCATAAATAGACCATATAAGGCTCCTAAAGGAGTATGCATTTAGGTCTGGAAAGACAAAAGACCATAAATATTAAATAGAGATGAATGTTACAATGAAAATAAACTGACGGGATGTGATAGAAAGTGAGAAGTTCTTTTAACTGGGTGGTTAGAAAAAACTTTCTGAGGAAATGACATTTGCAGTTAACAAATATAAATCATGAATGCATGAGATAATAAGGAAAGCCTATCAGCAATCTCCTAGAGTCAGTTGAGATTATATTTATGAGGGTGGAAGATTGAATGGTGGGGCAGGGAGGCAGTAACTGAAGGAAGTCTAAGCCAGATGTATGACAAGACATCTGCAAAAATAGGAGTGGTTAAGGAAGACTTTCAAGCCAGAGCCAGTGAACATAGACAGCTGAAGGCTGGGGGGACATACATCAGGATGATTAATCAGTGAGTTGCATCTGGAACAGCTGGGTCAATCAGGCCTTCTCCATTCCCTGGTTTGTGCTAAGCAGCAGTCAACAGAGGCATATATTCACAGGCTAAAGCAGCAAGGATGCATAATGGGCTGCCGAGCAGTGCAAAGTCACAGGTAGCTGCTGACTCTCAGAAGGGAAGGAGAGAGTACCCACACCAGAAGACAAGCAACAGCAGTCCTGCCCCTCAGCAGCTTGTCCTGTCCCTCCCTCATAATGATCGGCAGTAAGCTACTCAACACTCAAGTAGGTAAATGGATTGCAAAACACACAGATGAGTAAAACACTGAAAAAAAAAAAAAAAGTCACCGAACAGTTAAGGAAAACCAGCACTCTGAAGGAGAGACATACATGCAACAAAGGAGGATAACATCTGAGGAAATCAGGAGTTTAAGAAATTGGGGCAGAGACCTATGTCTTTGGGTACTAATCTACAGGGGGCATGACAGTCAGAGAATTTTTAAATTTTGCAAGGAGTTTCTAGCCTTAGATTTGTTGAATACACAAAGAATGCACCTACCTTAAAATTGCTGTATTTATTTATTTATGGGCAAATTATAACACAGCATATGTAGAGAAAGGGCATTGCTCCAAGGCACATATACTGTCATGATATCATTAGGGTTAATTTCAGTTAACAGTGTTGAGTGAACTGCAATGTGAGTTAGTAAAAATGGAAGATTTTACTGAGAACTTTCCAAAAATACAGTAAAAATAATCAAAAATAGAAGAGATAAGTACCATGGTGGATGGATTTAGAAGTTTCAACATCTGATGAATAAAAGTATTTAGGAGAAAATTACAGATAAAAATGTCCCAGAGATAAAGTCAGAAATCTTCAAAAATGCAAAGTTATCCACCAAGTACTAAGCGGGATAGGAGAAAAAAGACAACTACCTAAATACTAGGCAGAAAAACCTTAGAACTTGAAGGCTACAGAGTCCTAGGAGTTTCTAGATAGAAGAATCAAAAGATTGAGAATCAGAGTGATACCAAAATTCTCATCAGTGCAATGGAGGCCAGTAAACAATGGAGTATTCTAACTATAATTCAAGAATAAGGGTCAAACACATTTTTGTATATGCAAGTACCCAGAAAACTTATCAGCCATAAAGCCCATCTGAAATAATTCTTTGAGGAAGTACTCCCACAAAATAATAATGAATCTAGGAAAAAGATAAGATGTGTTATATAAAAGATAGTGCCTAGCCAAAGAAATCAAGAAAATTGATAGGCAAGGATGTAAAATCATTAAAGCATAATGTAAAAAAGTAAAAGAAACAAGATAAACAAGTATTAAAATTCCAGATGACTTCTTTAGGGAGATGCTTGGAAAAGAATGATTGAAAGCATGATAATGTTCTTTGCCAGCTTGAATGGAGACTTGGATCAACTGTAGACATTAATATAAACATTTAAGTTTAAATTTGTTAAGGATTTAAAAAGTGAAAATAGGATAGTCAAATTTCCTCACTAAATAGAGACAGACAGAAAGATAGAGTGCATGCACATACATATGCTTAACTACTCCAATAAAAAAGGAAGGGAGAGAAATAAACCCAAGAAAAAGAAAAGCCTAGTAAACAGAAAACACAAAACAAAGTAGTAATCATAATCACAATAAATAAATCATAATCACAATACAAATGAGTACATTAAATTTCCTATTAAATGACTGCAATCAGGTTTTAAAGTTGTCATTACCTCCTAATTAAACAGAAATATCCTACTAACTCACTGACTCCACTCCTATGTATAGACCCATGAGAACTGAAGACATACATCCACACAAAAACATATACATTGTAAATGAATGTTTACAACTGCGTTGCAAGTCAAAAACCAAAAGAAACCTAAATGTCCATCAACTGATGAATGAATTAAAAAAAGTGGTATTATCTGTAAAACAGAGTATGATTCAGTACAAAAAGAATAAAGTACTGATTCATGCTACAACATGAATGAACCTCCAAAACATTATGCTGAGTGAAAGATGTTAGTCACAAAAGGCTACATACTGTATGATACCATGTATATGAAATGTCTAGAATAGGCAAAACTATACAGACAGAAAGTGTATTAGTGGTTTTCAGAAGCTGGGAGAAGGAAGGAATGGGGAGTGACTGTTAATGGGTCTAGCATTTCTTTATTGGGGTGGTGAAGATGCTTTGGAATTAGTGGTGCTTGCACAACACAATGAATATCCTGAAAACCAATAAATTGTATACCTTAAAAGGGTGAATTTTGTGGTATGTGAATTATATCTAAATTTTATTTTTTTATTTCATTTTTATTTTTTGAGAACGAGTTTAGGTCTTGTCATACAGGCTGGAGTGCAATGGCACGATCTCGGCTCACTGCAACCTCTGCCTCCCGGGTTCAAGCAATTCTCCTGCCTCAGCCTCCTGAGTAGTAAAGATTACAGGCACCTGTACCATGCCTGGATAATTTTTTTATTTTTAGTAGAGACTGGGTTTCATCATGTTGGCCAGGCTGGTCTCGAACTCTTGACCTCAGGTGATCTGCCTGCCTCAGCCTCTCAAAGTGCTGGGATTATAGGCCTGAGCCACTGTGCCTATTCTAAATTAAAAAAAAAAAAAAACCACTATCATCACAATAAAAACGAATGTCCAGCTACATACTGGCTCCAAGGGACACAGCTAAAATAATGTATCATGACTGTATTTTTGATAATAGTGTTAAGAAAGATGGGTGTATAAAACTTGGCAAATTATTAAAAACAACCACTTCACGACACTGGAAAACAACGGTAGTGATAAGTTCACTCATAAAAAACTGCATAGGATAAGAATTGTGGGTTTACGGTCTTTCTACTTGGGGGTGTTTCCATGATCCCCAACTCAGGCAGTAAAAATTCAAGAGTTTACTGGCTGGAGGTTACAGATTCTGGTTAAGAATGAAATCTGGAAGAAAGAGGGCTATGAAAGCCTGGTAGTAAACTTGCCAGATCCCTGCCTCACTGCTAAAGTAGGCATGTATGTGGAATATCCCAGAGTCTGACAAAAACTGAAAGCCTGGGGAGACATCAATTGGCTAGGTAGGGTTAGAGGGAAACATCTGAACAGAGAGACCAGTAGTTACACACTGTAAATGAGAGAGAGACTGAAGTTTTAGGCTAGGCAAGCACTCAGAACAAACCAAAGCAGACACACTACAATGTATAATCTACAACAGGGGTCCTCAAATCCTGGACCACAGACTGGTACTGGTTAGTGGCCTGTTATGAACTGGGCCACCCAGCAGGAGGAGCAGTGGGTGAGCAAACAAACATTATAACCTGAGTTCCGCCTCCTGTCAGCTCAGTGGTGGCAACAGATTCTCTCAAGAGTGTAAACCCTAATGTGAACTGCACATGCAAGGGATCTAGGTTG